GTGTACCCAACCACGAGGAGAGCTCGCGAAGTAACACAGTCCTCCTCCTCCCCCTCATCCTCCTTATCCCCGTCCTCCCTTCCTCCTCCCTGCCTTCCCCCTTCCTCCACCCTTCCTCTCATTCACTAGCCTAGGACATCTTACTTAAGACATGTGTTCTCCTCCTCCCTTCCTCCTCCATTCCTCCTCCTCCCTTCCTCCTCCCTTCCTCCTCCCTTCCTCCTCCCTTCCTCCTCCCTTCCTCCTCCCTTCCTCATCCCTTCCTCCTCCCTTCCTCCTCCCTTCCTCCTCCCTTCCTCCTCCCATCCTCCTCCTCCCTTCCTCATCCTCCCTTCCTCCTCCTCCCTTCCTCCTCCCTTCCTCCTCCTCCCCCCCTCCCTTCCTCCTCCCTTCCTGCGCGGTCTTGAGTCGCCGACGGCTGCTGTCCAGTGGGCCCGTGAGTGCAGGGTGAGGCCAAGGCCGAGAGCCGTTGGCCGTTGGAGGTGGATTTCACCTAAGCCTCAGTTCCAGTTCCAGTTCCATCCCCCCCCTTCCTTATGCTATCGGGGTTCCCCACGTACGAAGAGGAAGGCAATCCCGCAAGCAATTTAAACGCCAAGTGCATGGGCCCAAACGACCAAAGACCATGCCAAACCAAAACCCAAAAACGTCAAAAAAGGCCAACTTAAATCCAACCTCGATGACCCCAAAACGTCAAACAACACCTGTATAAATCCAGCCTCAACCGTGAGACTCAAGCTCCGAGACCCCCGTAAAATTTCGGCTCAACCGAGCCTTCGGCCCACTGGTTGCCGTTCAGCCGCCTCGCCCAGGCAATTCGACATGACAATTACTTCGGGTCAGGCGCCCAAGCGGGCGTGCCTCGGATGGCTGGGGGGAGACGCGTTCGTATCGGCATCGGGCATGACTCATTTGCTGAAGCAGCTGAAGGAGTTCGACGTGCAGCCCGAGGCGATCTCATCGTCGAGTTATCGGCGGGCTAGGCGTGCATGAGATGCAATGGCCACGCTCTCCCTCAATCGGCGTTGCTCCCTGCAGGCACTGGATGCGCTTTAGCGGTCGCCGCCGAGGGGGCCGCCAACACGAAGCCAATGTTTGCAAGGAGCGACGTGTTTTTTGTTGGGGGGGGGGGGCTGGTTATTCCGTTTCACCGAAGGCAAGACACAGCATACCAAGAGACATCGTTTGGGCCCCTGGTTCAGAAGATCACTATCCCCACCGATGAGCACGGGCCGCTAGAGTTTCATTTCGCTCACCCGTGGGGCTTCCTTGAGGTCGCGTGCAAGCGCAGCGAGGCGTATACACAACTTTTGCAGAGAGTGCTCGACACGCATAACAACACGATCGACATCATTTTTTACAATGACGAAATAACCCCAGGGCAGCAGATCCAGGGCCGCCACCACAGGAAGATCCAGGGGGTGTATTGGGCTATCAAAGAGTTCTCATTCCCAGCATTGTCGAGCGAGCTGGCTTGGAACACCCTGGCATCGCCCAGGTCGGACAGTGTGGATATGCTCCCAGGGCGTTTAAGCGAGCTCTGCAAACATGGACTCAAGTTGTTCCTTGGTTCTCCAGGTGGGCCAGATATTAGGCACGGAGTTGCGATCCAGATCCCAGGGGAGGCCCACCCCAGATTGATCAAGGGCAAGCTTTCGATGTTCGTCGGCGACGAGCGTGGGTTGAAATTCAGTACGGAGGCAAAAAGCAGTGGAGGGCACAGGATCTGCGCCATGTGTGCAAACGTTGTTGGGCACAAGAGTTCATTCCTGCCAGATCCGCGTGGCTTCTGGCTCAGCTCCGAAGAGATTGACGTTAGTAAACTTCGCAGGCACACGGATGAGTCCATTAAGTATCTTCAGACTCGGCTCCGCGAGATATTGGCAACATCTGGCCCTGCAGAGCTGGATGCCGCCGAGGTCAGGTTCGGCTGGAACCTGGTCCCCACGGGGATGATGCAGTGCCCCGAGTTGGACATCAAGCTGGCCAGCATATGGTGCTTCGACTGGATGCACTGTTACCTCATCGACGGCGTTGCCGTCTTGGAAATGCGGAAGTGCATGTCTAGGCTGAAGAGCCACGGCCTTGGATCTGATAAGTTCGACGTGTGTTTGCAGGCTTGGTCTTGGTCAGGCGCGTACGCCCATGCCAAGGAACTGTGTCGGAGTAATAAAGAGAAGACGCTGTCTGGATCAGCGTCGGAGTTCCTATCGGCAGCGCCTGTCTTTCGGAAATTCCTGCAGGATGTCGTGCGCCCTCGCGGCGTGTGCGCGGCCGAGGTGGCCATCGGCATTGCGTTGGTGAAGGTGCTGGACCTGCTCGTCATCGCAAATTCAGGAGCTGTTCTTGCGTCCGAACTGGGAGCGGCAATTGCAGAACACCTCTCTGGCCTACCGCCTTGAGTTGTGGAAGCCCAAATCACACTATGTATTACATTTACCGTACCAGATGTTGCAACACCACGTCGTGATACCGACATTTCTTTTAGAAAGGAAACACAGGCTGGCAAAACGTTTCGCAGGGCCCAGGCACTCTCTGCAAGCATTCGACCGATCGATATTGGAGGAAGTGACGGTGCAGCATTTGTACGACCTCGAGCATGGGTCAATTGAGCGCTCCATCCTGTTTGAGCCGAGGGCCCCCAACAGGAAAGAATCCATTGAGTTGCGCAAGATTTTCGGTGACCTTGTAGATGAGTCTCAGATTTCTCGGGCCGCTTATGTCAACGGCAGGGTTGTGTCCAGCCATGATTGCGTTTCGTTCTGGCATCACGATGGCTCCCTCCGCTTTGGGCGCATCCATTACCATTTTAGTTTGCATGGCCACGCGTACTCGTGCATTTCACCGTGGGAGACGGTTGAATGCGGCGATACGATGTACAAGTGCAGGGTGCGTGACCACGGCATCTTGGTGCACGTGTCGTCACTTGTCGAGTCTTGCATATTTGTACCAGCAGGCGAGGGTGAGATCTCAACTATCTTAACGCCCCCTAAGCTGAGTTTGAGAGCAGGCAGAATGGTTTGATCGAGGGTTTTGTTTCTGTTGTTTCACACATTCGTGGTCAAACCATTTTGGCTGCCAGCGCTTTTGCCGCGCATGTGCTGACCTTACTGACCCGTGCGTTTCAGATGTTAGCCTGTGGAGGGATCTGAAAAATGACAACTTATTTATATCCAGCAGGCTTCCGCCCCTCCGCCCGCCCCGCCTGCTCGGGGGAGGGGTAGGATATCAGATGTTGCGCGAGCGCATTTAGATTGGCCCTCCCCCTCTCCCCTCCCCCCTGTTTCCCTCTACTACCCTCTCCCCCCCTCTCAACTTGCTACTCTCGCCCACTCCGCCTCCCCCTTTCCCCTTCAACCCTAACCGACTTAGCTCACATAGCTAACCTGGATAGCCAACTTAGCTAATCTACTTACCTAAGTCCGCAAAACTACTTACAGGGCTTAGGCTAACCTCCGTAACCGTGATAGCTATCCAGGATACAAGAGCTTCCCCTAACCTGGTTACCGAAGCACTTCCCTAAGCCCAAGATCTAATATATAACCCCGAGAACCACTTCCTAACCAGCCTGCCCCTCCCAGTGGAGGCAGCGGCACCTCCCGGCCAGGCTGCGGGGAGAGCAGCTGCAAGCTGGAAACTGGCACGGGGCGGAACGCCGCCCGGGTCCTGCTGCAACCCCCGTGCGCTGCACGCAAGGGAAAGGGAAGAAGGGGGGAGGGAGGAGGGGAGGGGAGGGGAGGGGAGGAAGGAGGGCACGACAACGTACTGTAACCTCAGGCGCCGCTCATCCCGCGCCCTCGTCCTGCTCCAGGGGGCAGGATGGCTTCAGGGGGGCATCTTGGGAGGCAGGACCCTGAACCCTAAACCCTAAACCCTAAACCATAAACCCTAAACCCTAAATTCCCAAGCACCTCGTTGTGCTTCTGCCCACCCCACCGCGCATCACCGTCGCCGTCTACGAGAGACAGGGCATCTCTGAGATGCTTCAGCATGTAGCCCGAGTGGGTCGCCTTGGCAGCTTTTGCTGCTGCCCTCCCCCTCTTTGGGGGATTCGCGCTTCAATGATAAACCTCCCCTGATCCTCAACGAATATAACACCCTAAACCCAAAGACCTTTCGCCTGTAAGCGCCGGGGTCGCCTGGGAGCGCCTGGGAGCGCCTAGGAGCGCCTGGGAGCGCCTGGGGGAGCGCCTGGGAGCGCCTGGGAGCGTCTGGGAGCGCCTGGGAGCGCCTGGGAGCGCCTGGGAACGCTTGGGAGCGTGCCGGGAGCGCCTGGGAGCGCTTGGGAGCGCCTGGGAGCGCCTGGAAGCGCTTGGGAACGCGCCGAGAGCGCCTGGGAGCGCCTGGGAGCGCTTGGGAGCGCCTGGGAGCGCCTGGGAGCGCTTGGGAGCGCCTGGGAGCGCCAGGGAGCGCCTGGGAGCGCTTGGGAGCGCTTCGGAGCGCGCAGGGAGCGCATGGGAGCCCTGGGAGGCCGGGGAGCGCCTGGGAGCGCCTGAGAGCGCCTGGGAGCGCCTGAGAGCGCCTGGGAACGCCTGGGAGCGCCTGGGAGCGCTTGGGACGCATTTGGGAATTTAGGGGCCAGCGGCCCTAAACCCTAAACGGCTGTAGTTTGGGAGGTTGCCGGCCATGCGGCCAGGGGTGGGAAGATGTTGCACCTCCTGCCCCCTTCGCCAAGCTTGATCGGGTCGGCTAAACGCCCCCCCAATCAAGCTTGCCGAAGGGGGGGCAGCCTTGCCTGGACTGTCGGCCGCTGCGCGCCCGAGAAGCCCTAAACCCTAAACCCTAAACCCTAAACCCCCCTCCCGCCCCGCCTCCTGCCCGCACCCAGCTTCAAACAAACCCGCCCCCGGAGCACTCCCCAGCTCCATCCAGGCCCGCTCTCCGAGCTGCGTTCAGCGACGGCCTCGAGGCCCGGGCCGCCTGGGAGAAGAACACGACGCAGAGGAAGCCGCATACACGTCTCGTTTTTTTTGCGGTGGTTGTGCTGCTTCGTGCGCCGCCGATCCTCTGTCGAAGGCGCGTCGATCTTCGGGAACTCCACCGGCGTCCCCACATAGGTCAGCAGGTCCACGTTCCGCCGGGGCGCCACGGGCCACCACGGCAGGCCCCAGAAGGCCACCGTCGGGATGCCCAGCTTGTTGAGCCTCAGCCGGATGTCCTGGATAGGGGGCCACATGCGAACCCTACCCCTACCCCCCACGATTTCTGAGGGGGAGGGTGGGGTTCACTTCGCTCGGGGGGTAGGGCGAGGAAGCGAACCCCACCCTCCCCTCAGAAATCGTGGGGGGTAGGGGTAGGGCTCGCATGTGGCCCCCTACTGGAGGCAGCCTCCCCCGCGGCTCATGCTTCTGCCGCGGCTCGCACCGTGCTCTCTTCCCAGACCCCCGACGTCATGATTTTTTCATTACGCGACCCCCAGAGGTCCGGACCTATTCGCCAGGACCAGTTTTTCATCCCGAGTCGTTTTTTGACGGTCCCGAGGGCCGGTAAGGGCCCCCAGAGGCTGAAAATAGCGAAAAACCTTCCGTCGTGATTTTTCCATGACTCGAGGGGGTCTGGGTTCTGCCGCGTCTCGGGCCCCGGAGCCGCCACCGAGCGCCCCGGCTCGAGAGCCGCATCGGGGAGATGGTGCCGAGGGCTCCGGCCGTGGCCTTTGACGACCTTGTTTTCAAGACAGACCCCCGCCAGCCATCGACGATTTTTTTTTGTTTTTTTCTATTTATTTATTTTTTTTGGTCGACGAATGGAACGCCCGACGCGATCTGAGCGCGAGCTGGCTGAGGTCCTGGAGGCCACCTAACGTGTTATAGGTGTCCGACTCCCCGAAGGTGTAGACGGGGTGAACCCGATAGCCGTGGCGCAGGCAGAACTTCACGAAGCCCTTCCTCTTCTGCACCCAGACGCGGTCCAGGCCTACCTGGCAGAGCGTCGCCTCCTCGAAGGCCCCAGGCGTCATGGCGATCGACTCCCCCCGCTCCATCAACCGCTCAATGGTGTGGCGCCTGTTATCCCGGAAGCCACCATGCGGGCCCTCGAACGCGTCGCAGAGGACGCGCGCGAAGAGGCCCTTGTTCCTCAGGGTGTTATCGATCAGGAAGAAGCAGCGCCCTGCCAGCTTGTAGAAGGTGCTGCCCCAGATCACGTTCGAGATCCAGCCGCAAGCGAAGATGCCGTGTGGGTGGCAGCCGAAGAAGCTCCTGCCGCACTGGATGCTCTCAAGGTCGCCCCTGAGCTCGCTGCGCCTGTGGTAGGAGCCGTAGCACCTGCGCTGTAACTCTACAAACCTTGGCATCGAGACACACGACCTCCTGACGCCGTTCAAGGAAACCATCCCAGTGGCCATGACCGCCAACAGGAAGGGCGCCAAGCCACCCGCCAACGCCGCTGAGCAGAAGGACACGATCAGGACGGTCCCGGTCGCGAGGCGCTGGTCGACCTGCACCAGCACGGAGAACATCCCCACGGCGATCCCGATGCCGCACGGCCACCCGACGTGGGGCGAGAGCGAGCCGCCCAGCGCGAACATCAGGATGGGGATCGAAGCGGTCCTGGCGTCGGCCAGAGGCCCACACACACACATGACAGCATAAGCATCATCAGCTCGCCTCCCTTCCTCCTCCTGGTCCCTCCTCTCTCCTCCTCCTCCTCGTCGTCCCTCCTCCTCCTCCTCATCCTCCTCCTCCTCCTCCTCCTCATCATCATCATCAGCAGCAGCAGCATCATCATCATCCATTCCTATTCCTTATAGATAACTTCTCCCCGTCGCACCCCGAGGCCAATTTTTAGGGCGGCCTGGGCGTTTCGCCTGAGATTGCTCACCATTTATGACCCTGAAGTTTAAACATTGACAACGGTTTCACAGATGGAGGGCGGGTCGTTTTCAACATTTGGCTCTCGCCTTAGCGCCGCGCGCATTCGTTTTGAAAATTTGCAAGAGCTTCACGGATTGAGGGCGGTTCATTCTCAAAATGTGGCTCTCGCCTTAGCGCCGCGCACATTCGATTTAATTGCCCTGGCGACGTACCCAACCCCTGCGCAATGCGGGGCATGAGTAGCTTGGGAGACGTTATACGGAGGTGATGACGTGGCATGGGCGCATATACTTCTGCGAGCGGCATTCGTGAGGCTCGCAGCCCCCCAAGGATTGCGAGGCCCCGCTCAGATCTGCGTGGTGCCTCACTCCGCTGGACCCGCCACCAGCCTTCGAAAGTAGCACGGGCTTCGCAGATCGCAGCCCCCCAAGGACGACGAGGTCCCGTTCAGACCTGCGCGGTGCCTCACTCCGCTGGACCCGCCAGCAGCCCTCGAAAGTGGCGACAGCTTCGCAGATCGCAGCCCCCCAAGGACGGCGAGGTTTCGCTAAGATCTGTGCGTTGCCCCACTCCGCATGACCCACCAGCAGCCCTCGAAAGTGGCCACAGCTTCGCAGATCGCTATGCTGGACCCCCAGGCAGCCCTCGAAAGTGGCGACGGTCGCAGATCGCAGCTCCCCAGGGACGGCGAAGTCTACCCCAGGTCCGCGCGGTGCCTCGCTCCGCTGGACCCACCAGCAGCCCTCGAAAGTGGTGGCAATTTAGCAGATCGCAGCCCCCCAAGGACGGCGACGTCTACCTCAGGTCCGCGCGGTGCCTCAACCCGCTGGGCCCACCAGTAGCCCTCGAACGTGGCGACAGTTTCGCAGATCGCAGCCCCCCTGGGACGGCGAGGTCTACCTCAGGTCCGCGCGGTGCCTCACTCCGCAGGACCCACCAGCAGCCCTCGAAAGTGTAGTTGATCGCAGCCCCCCAAGGACGGCGAGGTCTACCTCAGGACCGCGCGGTGCCTCACTCCGCTGGACCCACCAGCAGCCCTCGAAAGTGGCGACAGCTTCGCAGATCGTAGCCCCCAAGGACGGCGAGGTCTACCTCAGGTCCGCGCGGTGCCTCACTCCGCTGGACCCGCCAGCAACCCTCGAAAATGGCGACAGCTTCGCAGATCGCAGCCCCCCAAGGACGGCGATGTCTACCCCAGGTCCGCGCGGTGCCTCACTCCGCAGGACCCACCAGCAGCCCTCGAAAGTGGCGACAGCTTGGCATATCGCAGCCCCCCAGAAACAGCGAGGTCTACCTCAGGTCCGCGCGGTGCCTCACTCCGCTGGGCCCACCAGCAGCCCTCGAAAGTGGCCACAGCTTCGCAGATCGCAGCCCCTCCCCCCAGGGACGGCGAGGTCTACCTCAGGTCCGCGCTGGGCCTCACTGCGCTGGACCCACCAGCAGCCCTCGAAAGTGGCGACAGTTTCGCAGATCGCAGCCCCCCCAGGGACGGCGAGGTCTGCCTCAAGTCCGCGCGGTGCCCCACTCCGCTGGACACACCAGCAGCCCTCGAAAGTGGCGACAGCTTGGCAGATCGCAGCCCCCCAGGGACGGCGAGGTCTACCTCAGGTCCGCGCGGTGCCTCACTCCGCTGGACCCACCAGCAGCCCTCGAAAGTGGCCATTTCGCAGATCGCAGCCCCCCAGGGACGGCGAGGTCTACCTCAGGTCCGCGCGGTGCCTCACTCCGCTGGACCCACCAGCAGCCCTCGAAAGTGGCGACAGCTCGCAGATCGCAGCCCCCCAAGGACGGCGAGGTCTGCCTCAGTCCGCGCGGTGCCTCACTCCGCTGGACCCACCAGCAGCCCTCGAAAGTGGCCACAGCTTCGCAGATCGCAGCCCCCCTGGGACGGAGGTCTACCTCAGTCCGCGCGGTGCCAGCTGTCGAAAGTACAGCTCAGATCGCAGCCCCCCAGCGGCGAGGTGGTCCGCGCGGTGCCTCACTCCGCTGGACCCACCAGCAGCCCTCGAAAGTGGCCACAGCTTCGCAGATCGCAGCCCCCCAGGGACGGCGAGGTCTACTAGAAGTCCGCGCGGCGCCTCACTCCGCTGGACCCACCAGCAGCTCTCGAGAGCGGCGGCAACTTCGCAGATCGCAGCCCCCCAGGGACGGCGAGGTCTACCTCAGGTCCGCGCGGTGCCTCATTCCGCTGGACCCACCAGCAGCCCTCGAAAGTGGCCACAGCTTCGCAGATCGCAGCCCCCCAGGGACGGCGAGGTCTACCTCAGGTCCGCGCGGTGCCTCACTCCGCTGGACCCACCAGCAGCCCTCGAAAGTGGCCACAGCTTCGCAGATCGCAGCCCCCCAAGAACGGCGAGGTCTACCTCAGGACTGCGCTGGACCCATCAGCAGCCTTCGAAAGTGGCCACAGCTTCGCAGATCGCAGCCCCCCAAGGACGGCGAGGTCTGCCTCAAGTCCGCGCGGTGCCTCAATCCGCTGGACCCACCAGCAGCCCTCGAAAGTGGCGACAGCTTCGCAGATCGCAGCCCCCCTGGGACGGCGAGGTCTACCTCAAGTCCGCGCGGTGCCTCACTCCGCTGGACCCACCAGCAGCCCTCGAACGTGGCGACAGCTTGGCAGATCGCAGCCCCCCAGGGACGGCGAGGTCTACCTCAGGTCCGCGCGGTGCCTCACTCCGCTGGACCCACCAGCAGCCCTCGAAAGTGGCGACAGCTTGACAGATCGCAGCCCCCCAGGGACGGCGAGGTCTATTTCAAGTCCGCGCGGTGCCTCACTCCGCTGGACCCACCAGCAGCCCTCGAGAGTGGCGACAGCTTCGCAGATCGCAGCCCCCCAGGGACGGCGAGGTCTACCTCAGGTCCGCGCGGTGCCTCACTCCGCTGGACCCACCAGCAGCCCTCGAAAGTGGCGACAGTTTCGCAGATCGCAGCCCCCCAGTCACGGCGAAGAGAAGGCAGGAGGGGGGAGGAGGCGGGAGGCGGGAGGAGGAGAAGAAGGACGCGATCGCAGTGCTCTATTCAAAACGAATACCCAACCAAGGAGGGTTGGGGAAAAATTGCCAGAGTTTCACGGATTGAGGGCGGTTTCTTTTCAAAATGTGGCTCTCGCCCTAGCGCCGCGCATTTTCAATGTGCAAGAGTTTCGCGGATTCCCATGATCAGTGTACCAGAAATGGTGTTTTGAAAGGATTCTGGATTATGAGGGTGCAACAGTTACGTTGGCTCGCGGTGTTCAAGTCCCAAGAACGGCGTTCTCTCACGATTCGGGATCGTCAAGACGTGGCAACAGTCAGGTTGATCCGTGGCGTTGGAATCCGGAGAGCGATGTTTTGGCATTCATTAGGGTCTTCTGCTTTCCAACGAAGCAGTTCCCTCCCGCAGTGGAAATGAACCCGTGTAGGGGCCTATGAAGAGGGAGCTTGGAGGAAGGGTTTATTCCAACATCGTTAATGACTCTTGGGTTTACGCTGGTCCTCCTCCTTCTCCTCCTCCTCTTCCTCCTCCTCCTCCTCCTCCTCCCGCTCCCCGCACCCCTTTGCGCCGGAGGCGCGGCCCAGGGGTGCGGGAAGCGATCCTGGAAAACCAGAGACGCCGACCAGAAACTTCGGGCGCCCACCGACGGCAGATTCCCGCTGGCGTTAGTAAGGTTAGGTCGGGCATGTCCCTCTTCAGGAGGAATATTCAACAACAGTTAAACGATAGTCAACAAAAACAAGTTTTCGAGCATGTTTTGACGATTCCAGAGGAACAAACAATGACATAAACATAAAAGCTCGGAGGTCCGCGCGGATTTCTCGGATCGGCGCTGGACCCCCCTTCCTGGCGCGCGGAGCGCGCCAGGGGCGGCGCCGGAGGGCGCCGCCAGGGGGCCCCATCGCCGATCCGAGAAATCCGCGCGGACCTCCGAGTTTGTCTGTTTATGTCATTGTTTGTCCCCCCAGATTTTCGTATGTTGCTGGGCTGTTTTCTATTCTTCGTCCAGAACCCGCCTGTAGGGGGACATGCCCGACCTAACGCTGGCGTCGGGCCCCCTCCCCCGCACCTACCTGGCGCCGAGGGCGCGGCCCCAGGCGTGCGGGGAGGGGGCCCAGCGCCAGCGGGAAGCTTCCCCTGCAGGGGCGTCCGAGGTCTGTCCTCAAGGCCCTAATGTATGATTACTACTCTTATTATGACTACTACTACTACTACTACTACTACTACTACTACTACTACTACTACTACTACTACTACTACTACTACTACTACTACTACTACTACGACTACTACTACCACTACTACTACTACTACTACTACTACTACTACTACTACTACTACTACTACTACTACTACTACTACTACTACTACTACTACTACTACTACTACTACTACTACTACTACTACTACTACTACTACTACTACTACTACTACTACTACTACTAGGATTATTATTATTATGATTAGTATGATGATGATGCTGATGCTGATGCTGATGATGATGATGATGATGATGACGATGACGATGACGATGACGATGACGATGATGATGATGATGATGACGATGATGATGATGATGATGATGATGATGATGATGATTCTTCTTCTTCTTTTAATGACTATTATTCTTAGTATTATCATCACGATTATCATTCTCATCATTAATATTACTACGAGTACGAATACTATTATTATTCTTATTGTTATTATTATTGGTATTATTATTCGAATTATTACTACTATTATTCGTCTTCGTCTTCTTCTCCCGCCTCCTCCTCCTCCTCCTCCGCCTCCGCCTCCGCCTCCGCCTCCTCCTCCTCCTCCTCCTCCTCCTCCTCCTCCTCCTCCTCAGGGTCCAGGGTCAGGGGGGATGGTCAAATCAGCCACGTGCAGATGGTTTTTTCTGAAGCGCCTGGGGGCGCCGGGGGCGACTAGATGATCGAGGAGAGTGCCGTGACGGCGGAGCCTTAGGTTGGGCATGTCCCCCAGGCCATTTTTTGTTTTAAAGCTATGTTTGAACATTCCTCCTGTAGAGGGACATGCCCGACCCAAGCAGAGCCGGAACCAGCTGCACGCGGCTTTTCCCAACCCCCTCCTTTCCCAGACCTTCGACGTCGTGATCGTATCAATCCGTGGGCTCCGGGACCTCTCGACCCTGTCCCTGGGACTGCTTCTCCATGCCCGTGGCCATGCTCTCCCGGTCCTGGGACACGACATCTGGCCAAAGGCCGCTAGAGAAGATCTCTGGGTCGCGACTTCCTCGCGACGCCTGGGGGGCTTGGGTCGCTGGAGGCATCCGGAGGTACCACGGAGGCCCGAGGGACGCCTCCGCCGGAGGCCCATGGCCGGAGGCCCACGGCAAGCCAGGGGCGCAGCCGAAGCCTGCGCGAGACGTCGGAGGCCTCCCAGGTCGCCCGAGCGGTCCAGGCCACGCCGCTCAGCCACACCATGAGGAAGGCCTCTCGGAGAAGAGAGAGAGCAGCTCCTCCTCCTCCTCCTCCTCCTCCTCCTCCTCCTCCTCCTCCTCCTCCTCCTCCTCCTCCTCCTCCTCCTCCTCCTCCTCTCCCTCCTCCTCCTCCTCCCCTCCCCTCTCCTCCTCTCCTCCTCCTCCTCCTCCTCCTCCTCCTCCTCCTCCTCCTCCTTCACACCATGAGGAACGCCTCTCGGAGAGAGGGAGCAGCGGGGCGGTCGCTTGGAGGGGTGGGCGATGAAGGAGGGGCGGGCGGAGAGGTGCACTCTCCTCCTCCTCCTCCTCCTCCTCCTCCTCCTCCTCCTCCTCCTCCTCCTCCCCTCCTCCTCGAGGCCCCTTTCGGGCCCCGAAGGGCCCCTTTCGGGGCTCCTGCTGTTCTGCCGCCCTTGCGGCCCCCCCCCCCCCACGCATCGCCCCCCCCCCCCCCCCCCCGTCACGCGACGCCCAAGAGCGGCACAACAACCCATCTCCCGGAGGCCATGCACAAGGCTGTTCGGCCCTTGAGGGCCCCTGCTCCAGAGAGGTCTTTGCTCTGGGCACCATGAACGAGTTTCAGCCTCCACTTGGCTTAGCCAGGAGGGGACAGGCTATGAGCAACCATGGTATCGCTACTCACCGCCTGGGGCAAGGACCGAAACCGAAGCCAGGCCAATGCCCCTGCTGGGCCAACATTCCTCGGGTACGTGAAATTAGCAAAGGAGCGACTCCGATGCCCCCGCCGGAGATCCTGACGGGTTGACAGACACCTCAACCGAAGAGAAAGGCCCGTGCACAAAAATGCACGAATTGCCCACTCGGCATGCCAGCGGGCCCGGCGGCGATGAAAGACCCTCACAGCCGCCTCCCCTATGTGACCTTCCGGCCTTTCTTTCACTGGGTAGAGCGACCCCGTGGGTTGAGTACCACGGTTAGCCGCCCAGCCCCAGCCCTCGCGGCATCTCGCGGCATAGGGTGACCGCGCCTCGGGGTAACGGCCCCCTGCAGGGACGGAACGCCCTGCAGAACCGCGCCCCAAGATCTCCCGGAGGCCCGCGCGGATTTCTCGCATCGGCGCTGGACCCCCCCCCATCACGCATCGCCCCCCCCCCCCCCCCCCCATCACGCGACGCCCATGAGCGGCACGACAACCAATCTCCCGGAGGCCCGCGCGGATTTCTCGCGTCGGCGCTGGACCCCCCCGCCGCACGCCCATGGCGGCGCCTCGGGCGCCGCCCCTTGCGCGCTCTGCGCACCTGGGCACTGATCGGCCTGAGCAGTGTTTTTCGTCCCAAGTTTGGCTATCGGTGTCCCTCGTCTTGTCTTCGATCCGCCTGGGCTGCAAGACGGACTCGAAGCGAGGACGGCCCACGAAAGCGCCGAAGCAGCCTCTAGGTCGACTTCTGCACCGGGATAAGGGGATGCGGAGGGGGGGCCCAGCGCCGACCCAAGAAGCGCGCGGACCTCCGAAAGCCTGCCGGGGAGATGGGAATACACGCGGCTGGACTCACAATCCAAGCGCGTGCTGGCCACGCACCCGATGCAGGCGCGGCGGGTTGCCGCATCGTCCTCGCGCGGGCCGGGCGCTGGAAAGCCATGCGGTTATGCCAATATCTGACTCAGGCCTGCCACGTGTAGAACTTCCTGGCATAGAGTAGCAA